TATTTATTTTTACTCATACCGATGCAATTTGATCATTTTTCCAATACTTTGCATAAAGAAATTTGGAAGCAAACTGATGTAACTCAAATTATTTATTTTTACTCATATTGATGCAGTTTGATCATTTTTCCAATACCTTGGGTAAAGAAATTTGCAAAATCGAAATTTGCAAGCACGAATACTAATGTAACTCAAATTATTTATTTTTACTCATATTGATGCAGTTTGATCATTTTTCCAATACCTTGGGTAAAGAAATTTGCAAAATCGAAATTTGCAAGCACGAATACTAATGTAACTCAAATTATTTATTTTTACTCATACCGATGCAATTTGATAATTTTTCCAATACCTTGCATAAAGAAATTCGCAAGCATAACCTAAATTATTTATTTTTACTCATATCGGTCCAATTTTATCATTTTTCCAATATCTTGCGTAAAAAAATTTGCAAATTCGAAATTTGGAAGTATACTGATGTAATCCAAATTATTTATTTTTATTATTTCATACAATTTGATCATTTTTCCAATACCTTGCATAAAGAAATTCGCAAGCATAACCTAAATTATTTATTTTTACTAATATCGGTCCAATTTTATCATTTTTCCAATATCTTGCGTAAAAAAATTTGGGTTACTGATATAACCCAAATTTCGATCCAATTATGCGATAAATAAAATTTTAAAATTCCTTCTTACGCCTCCTTTCTAGTGTCCTTCTCGCTTTCCCACCATCTGTGTATCTCTCTCTCTCTCTCTAACTCTTTTATTTTATTTTTATTTTCAATTTTCTCACAGGGCGTCGATCGATGCTCCTCGAGCGAAGCGAAAAGAAGAAGAATCTGAGGAGAAAGGGCCTGATCCTCCTCTCTTTCCCTTCTTCTCTTTATCCTTCTNATGCTCTCACACGGGCCGGGAACAACGTTGTTCCATTCCCTCGATTGATTTTCGACACCAAGCTCGGACATCGATCTCCTCTTTCTCTTTCTCTCCACCGCGAAATCTAATTGTCGAACAATATTTCGTTGTCTCGTTGGTTACGGTGGCAATTATCGGTGAATCCAGCGAATTAATCAATTGTTCGCAATACCTTTCGTTTCCCCCTTCCCGACGAGCAAACGCGTTCAAATCTCGATTAACGATGTTTCCTTCCTTCACGCGCGCCTTTTAATCCGAATAAAATTTAAACCTCCGTCTCGACCTTCGAATACCCCCCCCCCCCTCTCGGAAAAATCGCCGCCAAGTATATAGTAGGAGGAAGATTATATTGGCAAAATTTGAAAATGATTCACCGATTTATAGCAGTTATATTAAATTATGTATACGGGGTAGTAATAGGTTGCAAAAGTGTCGAATACGTTGTTGGTAGCTTTTATACATTTTATAGGCAGAAATGTAAACGCTGGAACTAAGCGAGAGGATTTTTACGTAATAGTAAAAGTGTGCGGTATAATATTCAGAATGAATTCGAAAATGTGCGAAAAGAAACTATCCTTCGGCTGTATAAGGAAATCGTATAGCGAGATAGGAAAAATTGTAAATTTATGGTACATTATAAAAAAAATCAAAAATTAAAGAAACGGTTGTGAATCATTCGGATCGATCAAGAAAATTGAAAACTAAAAGATATTTATCGACGATTATGTCGACGAGTCTGGCGAAATGATAATTTTCATGATAGAGTAGATACCAAGAAGAAAGCCGTACGTCAATAAGCAAAATTAAAAGAAGAGATTGACTTTTGCAAAAATATTTGTAATTTGGAAGATAATGGTTTTTGGGAAAAAATGATATTTTTCGATGAATCTGACTTTAATATTTTTAATTCGAATGAGAGAAATTATGTATGGAGAAGATCAAAATGTATGTTGAACGGTAAAATACAGTGGTCATGGTGTTGGACATGGCAGTTATGGGGAATTTAGTATTTATCGACCGAATACTCGATAAATATATAAATATCTACATATTCTAAAGAACAATCTCAAAGATAGTGGCCACAAGTTGAGATTGTTGGAAGACTTGTACTTTCGACAAGACAAAGAATGGATCGTATACGATATATCCCATATGTTAAATACTCGACTGCAGAATCCAGATATAAATCCCATAGAAAATTGATAGGCTGAAATGGACAAAAAATTAAACAAATTTCGAATATCTTCGAAGCGGATGTTTAAAGAAGAAATTATAGAAATATGGAATTCCATCGATCGTAATTTTACAAAATTACTGGTTCGCAGTACGAAACCAGTCGACCGAGACAAATTATCACCACCAAAGATGATCTAACGAAATATTAATGTTAAATGTGCGTGTATATAATAAACGTATTATAACTACCGCATAAATCGATGAATCATTTTCAAATTTTGCTGACATAATCTTGAGATTTCCCTTCTATTACACACTTCTCATTGTATTAAACAAGTTTCTTTAATGTATATATTTCGTTCATCAAAAATTGCAAACGTAAGCGTTCGAATACTTTCGTTACCCACTGTAGATAAGTCGTTTCGCAAGCCAGCATCGCAGAGGCGGCGATTAAGGGATCGGCAAAAGACCGAAATCGCGCTCGCCGGTTTATTCGGGGTGCGCGCCTTTACCACGCTCGATCCTCTAATTATAAAGGACCGGTTTTCTCTCTTACCTATAGCGTATACGATACGCTCTCTCTTTCTCGTAGCNATGCTCGCCCGTGCTCGGAATTGGCCGCGCCGCGTTAATAAACCGCCGCTAGAGGCCGGTCGTATCGCGTGTCGCGAAATTCCACTCGGCTGAGTCACGAGGCCCCGTAACGAGTCCGGGCTCGCTCTCCATCGATCCTTGCCACGAATCGAAGCTATCGAAGCTAGCTAGTTCCGCCACGGTGTCTTCTCCTCCCCCTCCCTCTTCTCTTCCTCCACCTTCGTCCCCACGACGAACCTTGGGAATGTCCTTTCGGACGAAAGCGAGTTAACCGGCCAACTTTACGGGTCACGTTGCTGCCGCGCAACGACAGGCGCTGGTCGGGGAGGCCAGCGCACACTCGTTACGCCCGACCGTTACGGATAGGCGATTGGAATCGAGAGTCCGTGTATGTTCCAAGATGCTTATCTTCCTCCACGTTTATCCGTGATTTTCGAAGGATGATCGTGCACGAGTCACGATTCCTTCGAAAAAGAGAGGCGCTTCTCGATCTTATCTCTGCGAATTCTACGCGTGGAAGGGAAGGATGAAATCGAGGAGGGATGAATCGATTTTCGATTCGTTCCGCTTTCCTCTTCGTGGGATTTTATCCGAGGAAAAGCGTCTCTTCGATCTTATCTCGACGAGGCACGATGTCGATTGTGCGCGAGGAGGTACATAAATCTGGAGGATGATCGGGCTCGAGTCACGATTCTCTCGATCGCCCAACTTTGTCCCGAAGACGAGGAACAGCTCTCGTTTCTTCGGGCGTTTCGATCGCGAAAGATCGAGGAGAACGTTTCCAAGGGAAAACGTGGATGCGATATCTTTTCCAACCGCGCCTATCTTTTTCGCCACTATCGATCGACGAAGATCGCGTTCCCCTTCGAATCGAACTTCGATCGAATGCAAGATCGATGGAATCGAATCATTCGAATTATCAAGAGACCGCGTGTAATGGACTAAAAAAAATCCTTTTACCACGAATTCGCGTTTCATAGCTTGAAAATATCGATCGATCTTTCTAATCGCTATTTCTATGCCTCGGGAGAAGAGTTTCGAGTTTCAACCTCTTCCTCTCGCTTCAAAAGCGAACAAATTAACGGTCGCTTTCGCTTTCGACTCGAACTCGATTTTCGACTCTGGACAAAATTTCACTCTCTTCGCGCCTCATCCATATATATATATATATATATATATATATTCTTTAACTTGAATCGCTCGACGTGATATCGCTTATCTTATCAACGATATTCTATCGATAATCTTTCAGATGCTCTTGGATCACGAACACGAATTAGACGAAATCGGATATTTTCATGGGTGAACGGTATATATATTTATATATATATTTATATATATATATATATATTGGCGGCGTAACTGTACCGTGCGTACAAGCAACGCGCGTACCACCAATCCGTGTCGAGGCGTGCTCGAGTTCGCGACAGGATGTTGGCCGCGACAGACGCGCACCGCTATCGCACCGATCTTCCCGTTCTTCCAGGCAAATGCCTCGATTTTTCTCCTGGCTCTTTTAATTGGACGATGGCCGAGATCAGAGGCCTTCCGTTCTTTCTCTCGGCATCTGGAGAAGGTAACGGGTAACGGTGAATCGAGAGGAGGAAAATCGCGCGGCCAACTATTTCGATCGCGATCTACGCCGCGGTATTCACGGTTCCACGAGTTCCTTATCTATCCTCGAACGCGCTTCTCTCTTTCTCTCTCTCTCTCTCTTTCTCTCTCTCTCTCTCTCTCTCTCATTCGTGAAATAGGATACGCGCGTCTTCGGGCGCAAACGAAACCCGCCATTAATTTTTACGATATCGTTTCTCTTCGTCTCGTGCATGATAATCCAAGGGAATAGAAAAAGAGCGTGAGAAGAACGTAAGCATTAACTGCAGGTGCGGTTTATATACCAAATGGAATAAAAATAAAATAAATACAACAAGAAAAATGTTTTGAAATAGAATATCACTTTGGTAATATAATTTAATATTAGAATGTATATACTTATTTTCTTGCATGTTTTTATTTCTTATCTCGAGTCTCTTTCAAACTATATTTTTCAAACTTTCTCCAATACGAATAAACCTTCTATTTCTTCCAGTTCCTGAAGAAAAAGACGCGTTGAATAAAAATGTTGACGAATACAGTGATAAAGTTTTGAGATTTTAGATTTTTGTAATAACAACTTACGTTACGTTTACGCTTCATTACACGTTACTTTCTCACTTCTTTTACGTTGTCTAGTATTATGATTTGATTTTAGTAAAATTTTTTTTTTTTTTTAGAGCGATCGGCTGTGCTAAAAGTACCCGCTAAAAGTTAATGGGGTTAATGGAAATTCGGTGAAAAACAGGGACTCCCTACTCCCGATCGCGAGTCGTCGTCCTTGGTCGGATCGGAGTGGTGGGATGGCGTGGCGCGCGGAGTCATAAATAATTGATAGGAAACGGAAAGGAAGGCGCGCTTACTCACCATAATCGGAGCGC